GCTGCCGTTCTGCCCTCTGGGAGCTGTGCTTCTCCCTCCTGGGAAGGGCTCAGTGCCCAGAGAGCCTGGGAGACGATGGGAGAGGACTTCCCTTCCCCCTGGAAGGCCAGTCCCTCCCTCTCTGCCTGCCCCAGAGTTTTTCTTCTGCGCCGGCCGTCACTGAGGCAGCTCAGCCTTTCCCCTGCCTTGCCAGGGTCTGTCTTTCGAGGATCTGGGCTGCATGCTTGGCTCAGCCTGGCTGTTGGCATCTCCCTTGTGCAGGACAGCTGGCATGCAGTGCAGTGGGTCTCCCTGGCTCCCCTCCATCCCCTTCAAGCAAAGGTTTGGGCTGGGCTTTGCCTTCCTAGAGAGAGGAGCTCCTTGCTCAGGGTTTCATGAAGGGCTTTTCCTACCTTTAGGGCTCGTCTGAGCCCCATGGCCACTGTTCTTCCAGCACTCTGCTGCCCCTCTTTTAACTCTGCAGCTCGGCAGAGGGCAGAGTCAGGGAGGTTCCTCTCTAGTTGAGGTGCTCGGCTCAGTGATGTGGGGTGCTTGGCACTGCCCTTCCTTGGGGTGAAGTGACACTGAGTGTCCACCTTCGCCTTGGCGCCGTCTGTGTCTGGGGAGAGGATAGGAGAGGAGAGGACCATCCCTCCAAAGGGGTTCTGCACCATGAAGGCAGAGAACAGCCCCATCGGGTCTCTCAAAGACCAGGACAGCAGCAGCAATGAAGAGATGGGGGCTAATGAAGCCACCCATCTCCCTGAAACCACACCGCTGGCAAGGCCCCCGGCCCTGCAAGCTGCAGGGAATGGGCAGTTTGCCCCTTGCCCAGCTCTCCTTTGGCCCCAAACCTGGGGGCTCCTTGCCTTGCCAGCCTGCCCCACTGCAAATACCAGTTTCCCCTCTGTGAGACTGGGAGAGTTTCTCACCTTCTGCAAGCCGCTTGAACCACTCAGATGTTTCTTGCCTGTGCTGTTGGGGCGGGTGGCCGGGGGCAGCCCCCGCAGCAGCTCTGTGCTGGGGGTGGGTGGGAGGAGCCCTCTCCCCAGGCACAGCCCCCGTCCGAGGGGAAGGGAAGGCTGGGTTGAGCCTGAGCTCCTTGCTCCTGGCATGGCTTCCAGTTCTGCGGCAGGGGCCCACGCCGGTCGTACCGGGCTGGCTGGGCTCAATGCAGCTAGCGTGTTCTTCCCTTGCTTGGGTCTCGACCTCATGATGTCACGTACGTCTGTACCCCTCCAGAGCTGCTCTCTGGGGGTTTTGGGGTGCAGACTGGAGAGGGCTCCTCCTCGCTGGCCTGACCCAGCTGCGCTGGCACTGCCCACTCTGCAGAGCATCTGCATGGCTGGCTTCCAGAGGAGACGCGGGGCTGGCTGCCTCAGGAGGCAGAGCCGGCAGGGCTGGTGCCGTGCGGGTTGTGACGGAGCCGCTCCCTGGCCCGGAGGAGAGCTCTTGGTGAAAGGCTGGGCGATGCTGTCCCAGATACCGGGAGGTGGGGAGGCATTGCCCTGGGTGTCCGGGAGGGCGAGGCTCCCACCTCGACAAATATCGCATACAAATATCTTAAGGGCGGAAGTCAAGAGGACGGAAGCAGTCTGTTTGCAGTGGTGTCCAGTGGCAGGACTAGGGGCAATGGATGCAAACTGAAACACGAGAGGTTTCAGTTGAATATGAGGAAGAACTTCTTCACTGTGAGGGTGGCAGAGCACTGGAACAGGCTGCCCAGGGAGGTTGTGGAGTCTCGTTCTCTGGAGGTATTCAAAGCCCACCTGGATGAAGTCCTGTGTAGCATGCTCTAGGTGAGCCTGCTTTAGCAGGGGGGTTGGACTAGATGATCTCCTGAGGTCCCTTCCAACCCTTACGATTCTGTGATTCTGTGTGATTCTGTGATTCTGTGTGATTCTGTGACAAGGCGCTTGGGGGGCTCCTCAGCAGCATGGAGGAGCGGGGTGGGGTGTGGAAGAGGTTTTGGAGAAGACAGTTTACAGGTACAGCCCTGGTCTGGTGTGCAGGGCCAGGGCCCGGAGGTGCTGCTGAGGGTGGAGGTGCTCGGCTGCGCTTTGGGAGAGGAGGAGGAGGAGTGTGGTGGCTGGCAGAGCAGGGCTTGGCTCCTGGCATGCTCCTGCTAGCCGGCTGTCTTGTAAAGTTGAGGGGGTTTGCCCTCCCGCTCTCCTCTTGCCCTCGTCGCTGTGCCTGGATGGGGACTGCCTTGTCCTTGGCCAGCGGAGGGCAGGTCCCACTGCTGCTTCCCACCCTCTACGGGTGCAGGGAAGGGCCGGGGCATGGAGCTGTGCCTGGTGCCTGGCTGTGCCCTGCCCGCCTCTCCCTCCTCCGCTGCCAGATAGGTGCCAAGGCAGGTGTGCCCGTTCCTCCAGCGCCGGCCCATCGTACCTCCTGCCCAAGGCAGCCCTCTGCCTGCACCGTCCTGTCCCCTCGCACCCTGCCCCTGCGGGAGGGCACTCCCCGGCCCTCGCTCAGGGCCTGAACTGGGGGGCACAGCCCTGGGCCAAGGATTCCTTCCCAGCTGGAGCCTCGCTGGGGCTCACAGGGCTGCCATGACAAGGACAGGGCTGCCTGGCGGCGGTGGGACCTGTCCCCGTCTGAGTCACAGTGTGGGGTGGCGGAGGAGGGGACAGGGCGAGTGCGTGCCCCTTCACCTCTGCCTGTTCGGGGGCTGTGGGGGATTACAGCGCTGGCACCATATGTCACCCTGCCCGCAGAGCCCTGCGCTCTGCCCTGCCCCGAAATCCATCTGCGCTTATCACTGCAGGGGGAAGAGAGGGACAGATGCTGCCCTAGATCTGTGGGATTAAACTCCCAGCAGCAAAGCAGATTAGGGAATTACGCTGGCGCCTCTGAGGGGAAAGCCCACTGTCCGGAGCCCGTGCCTGCCTGGGGCAGGGGGGACAGCGGTGATTCCCTCACTGTGCTCCCACAGGGCCCCTCGGTCAGGCCCACGGAGGAGCTGGGTGCTGGCCGGGACTGGTGTGGTGATGGGCTTCCCACATGCCACTGGAGTTGTCTCCAGGCTGGGCTCCAGCCCTGGGATGTGAGAAGCAGGAGCAGCTCTGGAGGCACAGGAGCTGCTGCTGGTTTTGCACCCCCTTGCAGGGTCCCCTCTGCCCCCCTGGGTGTGGTGTGCCCCACCGGTGTGACCCGTGGAGGGTGATGCTTAGGTGCCTTATGTCTGGATCCCCCCGAGTATCCCCCGTGCCGTGGCCTGGCTCACCCTGTCCTCACCACCGCCTGCGGTCGCTCCCTGTGGCAGTGGGGTCTTGTGCTGGCAGCGCCCCTGGGGCTGTGGGCGCAAGAGGCGAGCAGTGGTTTTGCTCTCTGATGATTTACCGGAGTGCTTCCCATCCCGGCTCCCCCACAGGTGCTCCCCGGGGCTGGGGGGGTAGGCGGGTCTGTGGAGGGTCAAGCTGGCCTGGGTGCAGCTCCAGCTCAGCTGCGGAGGGCACTGGGTGAGAGCAAAAGGAAGAGCTGGTGGCAGGGAACCTCCGCAGCTCTGTGCCTGGGCATGAGCCTGGAAATACAGCCCAGGAGCAGGGAACGCGGACTTCCCGGCTAGGCACAACTGGGCACGGCAGGGATGGCTCACAGGGAAGGCTGTGGGGCTTGGGGGGGTGGTTAGCACACGCTTGGCCCTTGCTCACTCCGAGGGCGCTGTCGGAGCTCGGCGATGCCTGCCTGGGGCTCTGTGGGAGTGGGGTCAGTGGGGAGGTGATGTGAGGAGCAGCGGGAAGCACCGAAGGAGTGACCCATGGGACAGGGCCCGGGTGTCTCACTGCTTTTGTGCCTGCAGATGCCCAGGGCTCAGCCTGTACATCTCCCCGGTCATTCCTGTCTACAATGCTGTCGTCTTCCTCTTCGTGCTGGCCAACTTCAGCATGGCCACCTTCATGGACCCAGGCATATTCCCGCGAGGTGAGTCTGGCTCTGCTCAGGAAGCGTCTTAGCTAGCGCCACCTCCTTCCACCCTTCCTCCAAGGTAAAGAGGATTACCTGATCCCAAAAGGCTTGAGGAGAGCCCTCCTTGCCCTGCCTGGGTGGGATCGGGTGTGACACACACTATGGGGACGGGAGCTCTGAGTGCAGCACCCAGCCTGTAGGACCAAGTTGTGGAAGCAGTGTGAATCCTGGCACACTGTATCGGGTACCGGGGGCTCAGGTGGGTGTCGTGGTGTCGGGGCAGGGCCTGGGAGAGTCCCCCTTCCCCCTACATGTATTTGGGGGTCCCTGGCTGGTCCCTGTGCCAGGTGAGATGGGCCTGGTGACAAAGGAGGGCGATGCCGGGCATCTTCAGCTTGGGAGGGCAGGAGGCTGGCTGGGCCCTGACAAGTGCCTGTGCTGGGCTTTCCCTGTCAGCTGAGGAGGACGAGGACAAGGAGGACGACTTCCGAGCTCCGCTCTACAAGACTGTGGAGATCAAGGGCATTCAGGTGCGCATGAAGTGGTGTGCGACCTGCCGCTTCTACCGGCCGCCACGCTGCTCCCACTGCAGTGTCTGTGACAACTGTGTAGAGGTGAGGAACTGCCAGGTCTCGGTGCCCTTTCATTTCCACGTAGAGTTTGATGCGTAGTGCGGGCAGGAAGCCCCGGCGGCCGAGCCCTTCACTGTGTCTTTTCCCCACCGACAGGAGTTCGACCATCACTGCCCTTGGGTCAACAACTGCATAGGGCGGCGCAATTACCGTTACTTCTTCCTCTTCTTGCTGTCGCTCACCACACACATCATGGGGGTGTTTGGCTTTGGCCTGCTCTACGTCCTCTACCAGGTGGAAGAGCTCTCCGGCGTCCGCATGGCGGTCACGTATCCTCTGCGAGGCTGCATGAGCAGGGCTGGGGCGGGGGGTGTTGGTGGGGTGGGGGACAGCGTGCCATGGAGCGGGGCTGCGCCTCTTCCTTAGCTATCTGCCGATAGGATGGTGGTGATGTGCGTGGCCGGCTTATTCTTCATTCCCGTCGCGGGCCTTACGGGTTTCCATGTGGTGCTTGTGGCAAGGGGCCGTACTACCAACGAACAGGTATGTCTGTGGGGCTGGCGCAGGGCTGCTAGCCCCTCTCAGGCCATGTCTGGGTATGTTTTGGGGCTCCCCAGGGCAAGATGGACACAGGCAGGCTGGATCGAGGCAAGGGAAGGCCCCCGAGCTGGTTGGGGAATAGATGTCTGTGAGGGGAGGCTGAGAGCACCTCGTCTGCGCAGCCTGGAGAAGGGGCATCCTTGCTGCTGCTGCTGCTGGGGCTGGCTGTAGAGAGCGTGGCGCTGGGCAGGCTCTTCCCAGGAGGCCGAGAGGTGACGGGCGCAACTTGAAACAAGGCAACATCCAAGTAGACATTAGAGAAAGCACTCTTCTCCTTGGAGGGTAGTTCCACACTGGGACAGGGACCTGGAAAAGGGGGAGTATTTCCCAGTACCTCTGTCCTTGGAGACTGTCAGGAGCAAGCTGGACAAACCCTGAGTGACCTGGCCTGGCTGGACCAGAGACCTCCCGAGGTCCCTGCCCACCCCGGTACACTGTGATGCTCCTCATCCCGCAGGTGACGGGCAAGTTCCGTGGTGGTGTCAACCCCTTCACCAACGGTTGCTGTAAGAACGTCAGCCGGGTCCTCTGCAGCTCCCCGGCCCCCAGGTGAGCCTGGCACAGCATGGCGGTGCCCCCCCAGCCCTGCAATGCCTGGGAAAACTGCCCCATCCTGAGCTCCAGGCCTTGACCTTCCTCCCACCTCTCTCCCTAGGTACCTCGGGCGCCCGAAGGCCGAGCAGACGGTGCTGGTGAGACCCCCCTTCTTGCGGCCTGAGGTGTCAGATGGTCAGATCACTGTCAAGATCATGGACAACGGTATCCAGACAGAGCTGAAGAGGACGAAGGTGAGGAAGGTGGGGATTAGCGGTCCCTGCGTTGGGGCCCTCCATGGAGCCCAGGGGTGCAAGCCTGCATCCGTGAGTAAAGAACCGAGTGAGCCTTGTCACGTTCCCCATCCCCCTCCATGTTGTCTTGTTCTGTGTCCCCACGGGACAGAAACTATGTCCTTCCCATGTGGCAGCGACCACATGAGGCTTTGCACCCTCCATTGTCCTTCCCCGTCCTGTCCTTCCCCCTCGCAGCATCCTTTGGAGGTCCCCCTTCCCCAGCACTCCCAGCACCTGAGGCACGTGCCGCCTTCAAGCCGTGTTGGATGGCCCGGGAGGCAGCGAGAGCCCCTCTAGCACCACTGCCCGCTCCCTGACTGCTGAGGGGAGGGCTGAGGCCTTGGCACCCCTCTGATCCTCCCTCTGCCCTTTGTCTCTGCAGTCCAAAGGAAGCCTGGAGGTGACGGAGAGCCAGTCTGCTGACGCTGAGCCACCCCCCCCACCTAAGCCAGACCTCAGCCGCTACACGGGCCTGAGGACACACTTAACCCTGGCCACCAACGAGGGTAAGGAGGGCATGCAGGGTCCCAGGCAGCCGCTGGGAGGGGAGCCCAGGGCTGCGCCAGGCAGACCAGGAGCCAGGGCCATAGGCGGAACAGGATGCAGGGCAGACCCGAAGCACGTCAGCACCACCACGTTGCAGGGCAGGACATGCCTGTGTTTTTGGGCTGGCACATGCAGCCCCTTGCACTTGGAGAAGCCTGCAGGATGCTTATAGCCAGCTCTGCTCCATTGGAGAGGAGCAGGAGGCCGAGCTGAGACAGCGTGGTGCTTGTTGAAGCCACTGTGAGCTGCGACGGGCAGGCTTGTAGGCCGTGCTGCTGGCAGGCACAGGAGCGTCATCTGGATGAAGGAGGCGAAGAAGTGGCGGGCCTGGCTTGGCGGCAGGGAGCGCATTTGTGGCAGCCTGCGTGACTCGCTTTCCCTGCTTCCCTGAGCACCGGTGAAGCAGTGCTCGGAGCTGCCTGCGTGGGCTTGGTGAGAGAGGTGGGATGTGAAGGGCAGGGCTTGGAAGCGTCCACTTCCTGCAGCAAGCCGGAAGCCTCTGCAGCTCTCGCCATCCCCCTGGACAGGGCGCAACGCTCCCGGGGGAAGGGCTGCGGCACCTCTGTCAGCGGGGTGAGCGGCCAGCACGCCCGTGGGTGCCCGGGTGCCCACGGACACCTCCATGCAGTGCACACCCTGCTGACCCCGGGGTGTCACCCAGCCGGGGCTGCTGCAGGGGCACAGAAGTGCCAACCCCAAACACGCTGCCATGGGAACGTGTTTTCCATGCTGCTCTGTTTCATCCGCCCCTGGTGCGCCTCTCCTTGAGCCCACCCCTCTCTCCACCTCTGCCTCCCTGGTCTGTCTGCCCCAGGCTCGGAGCCGGTTCTTGGGAAGGGAGGGCAGGACTCCACATAGCATTTGTCCCCCCGCGCTGCCCCGGGGGCCGCCTGTCTGAACATCTCTCTCTTCCCCCACCCACAGACAGCAGCCTGCTACGCAAGGCCAGCCCAAGGTAAGGCCATGCCCAGCAAGGGGGGTGCCCAGCCTCCAGGGGATGCTGCCACGTTCCTGGTTGGGGGAAGAGTTGGGGGCAGGGGGGGCCGTTGGGAGCTCTGCAGGGGCCCCATCTTTCTGTGGGTGACTGCTGTGTCTCTGCCCCTCAGCTGAGCCGAGTGAACAGCCTGAAGGAGCCCAACTCCATCTGTGACAGCAGCCGCAAGCCCAGCTACCGCTCCGAGCCAAGCCTGCAGCCCGAGAGCTTCCGCTCCCCCACCTTTGGCAAGAGCTTTCACTTCGACCCGCTCTCCAGTGGCTCCCGCTCCTCCCGCCTCAAGTCAGCCCAGGGCACAGGCTTTGAGATGGGCCACCTCCAGTCCATCCGCTCGGAGGGCACCACCTCCACCTCCTACAAGAGCCTGGTGACCCAGACGCGCAATGGCAGCCTGTCGTACGACAGCCTGCTCACGCCCTCCGACAGCCCCGACTTCGAGTCAGTGCAGGCGGGCCCAGAGCCTGACCCACCGGGGGGCTACACCTCGCCCTTCCTCTCAGCCCGCATCGCCCAGCAGAGAGAGACCGACCTGCACGGCCGCTTCGCCAGCGCCGTCTCCCCCAAGCACGCGCCACCCCGCGAGCCCTCGCCTGTGCGCTATGACAATCTCTCCCGCCACATTGTGGCCTCCATTCAGGAGCGGGAGAAGCTGCTGCAGCAGCCGACGGCCCCGGGCAGGGAGGAGGACGCGGGGCTGGTGGACTCGGGCATCCAGTCGACACCAGGCTCCAGCAACGCCCCCCGCACCAGCTCTTCCTCGGACGATTCGAAGCGCTCGCCCCTGGGCAAGAACCCGCTCACCCGCCCAGCCCCACCCCGCTTTGGCAAGCCCGAGCCCCCCAATGCGCTCCGGGTGCGCTCCCTGGGCTCCCCTGACCAGCCCGCTGCCCCCCACCTGGGCAAATCCGTGTCTTACAGCAGCCAAAAACCAGCGTCTCAGGCCAGCGTCCCCGAGACGGAGGAGGTGGCCTTGCAGCCCTTACTAGCACCAAAGTAAGTACCGGCGCTGGCTGCCTTGCACGCAGAGCAGTCTGTGGCCCCGCAGAGTGGGGGCCCTCACCCCAGCGCCTCGACGGGTTGCTCCAGAGGGAGCCGGGGGTCCCTTGCGCCTCTCCTCCAGCCCTCCTTCCCCTGCACCAGCGCCTGGGGGCAGCGACATGCCCCGCACCGGGTAGCCTGGAGAAGGGTGGGGGAAATCATCCTGCTCCTCCTCCCAGGACAGAGGTGGTGCCAGCCCCTCCCCAGGACACCCCATGGGCCTCTGGGGGAGCTGGAATGGCGTGTGGGTGCTGGAGGTCCCTGGGGAGGGCAGGGCTGTGGCTGGGCTTCCCTCCCCAGGGACGAGGTGCAGATGAGAACAGCCTACAGCAAGTCCAATGGGCAGCCCAAGAGCCTGGGCTCAGCGCCTCCGGGCCCGGGGCAGGTGCCCCTCAGCAGCCCCACCCGTGGAGGAGTCAAGAAGGTCTCTGGCGTGGGGGGGACCACCTACGAGATCTCAGTATGAGGGGCAGAGCCTCTTGCCCCTTGCCTCCTCCCCGGCTGGCACCCACCGGCCCCGGAGGGACATTCTGCGGCCGGACACTGCGGACTCCAGGGAGAGCCGGGCCGGGGGGAGACGGGCCAGCAGCCCCCCCTGCTTTCCTCTTTCTCCACCCCTCCCCGGGACGCGCGGGGCTGACACACACCCCAGCGGGGCTGCTCGTCCTCTCCCCCC